TGCTTAGCTGCAATAACTGGAGTCACCTGTGAAGTGCTGCATGTCTGTGGATGAGAGAAATTGTTATTGATGTCATGATGACTAAACCCTTCTAACACCATACCTGGATGCTCTGCTGAACAGAAATCTAGTCACATAGATATCAATGTTTGCATGCTTAACCCCTTCGCGCCGGCACCTCCTGGCCCTTTAAGGGTCCCAGAAGCCAGGAGGCGGGGAAGGGTTTAGGGTCATGTGACCGCCGTGACATGCCGTCACATGATCGAGAAAGGTCCCGATCGAAAGAGGAGATCGGCACCTTTCTGTGAGTAACGGACATGTGTGCTGGGAGCTCGCAGGGCGCGCGCTCTCAGCACATATGTCTTTTTTTTAATAGAACGCAAATGTGCGGCCGCTCGGCGTCTAGGCCCAGACACCGGGAGGCCGCACTTTTGTGTTCGGCCGGCGTGAAGAGGTTAAAAAACATTTTTTCCACCATCTAGCAAATCTGTCATTGCAGGGGCAACCAAAAAAATTAGGCATCTTTGTAATTTTTTTTTTCTTAAATTAGTATCAATGTGTTTTAGGTAGAATTAAAAAAAAAGCAAAATGCACACTATTGTTTCTGGGCTATACTACACATACAAACAACAACTAACATACATACATGTAGTATCTCTGCGATTGTCAAGAGTTATGGTAGTAGCAAGAAGTATACAGCTTAAATAAAAAATGGTTTTTTTTAATACTATTTTGGGCCAGTTTTCCTTTGATAATAATAAAAATAAACAACCAGGAGATATCCATACCATTTACCACCAAATGAAAGCCCAATTTGTCCTGAAAAAAAAAACAAGGTTTAATCCACCTGGATGTACAAAGTAGTTGTGATGACATGTACAGTTTTACTAACACATGTCAAAGTTGCAAAATTATGCTTGGGCATTAACATGTGTTTTCCTTTTAGGCGCAAAGGGGTTAAAATAGAAATGAAAGGTAAAACATTTGTGTATAGATATAAAATCATTATAAATACCTTTTCTCCCCTTTAATATAAGTGATGCCATATCCTCTGTTCTCAGATTTCCTTCTGTTGAACTTTGGTCTTCCAAGATCATCTATCACAGTGATCTCCAAACTGCAGCCCATGGGCTGAATGCAGCCATTTGCTTGTTTCTATCCAGCCCTCAGGATACTATTCCTCCCACTGATACCAATAAGGAGGCATCATTTCTTCCACTGGCACAGAGTATGGGGCATTTTTCCTTCCACCGACATCAATGATGGGGCACAATTTCTCCCACTGATATAAACAATCAGGTACTATTCCTCCAACGAATACCAAAGATGGGGCGCTATCCCTTCCTCTGATACCATTGATGGGGCACTATTCCTTCCTCTGATATTAATGATAGGGCACTCTTCATTCCACTGATATAAACAATTAGGTACTATTCCTCCAACTAATACCAAGGATGGAGCACAATTCCTTCCTCTGATACCAATAATGGAGCACTCTTCATCCCTCGGACACCAATGATGGGACACTATTCCTCCCCGACACCAATGATGGAGCACTATTCCTCCCCCTGACACCAATGATGGAGCACTATTCATCCCACTGACACCAATGATGGAGCACTATTCCTCCCCCTGACACCAATGATGGGACTCTATTCCTCCCATTGTCACTAATGATGGGGCACTATTCATCCCTCTGACACAATGATGGGACACTATTCCTCCCCGACACCAATGATGGAGCACTATTCCTCCCCCTGACACCAATGATGGAGCACTATTCCTCCCACTGTCACTAATGATGGGGCACTATTCCTCCCACTGTCACTAATGATGGGGCACTATTCCTCCCACTGTCACTAATGATGGGGCACTATTCCTCCCTCTGACACCAATGATTGGACACTATTCCTCCCACTGACACCAATGATGGGGCACTATTCCTCCCACTGTCACTAATGATGGGGCACTATTCATCCCTCTGACACCAATGATGGGGCACTATTCCTCCCTGTGACACCAATGATGGGGCATTGTTCCTCCAACGAATACCAGTGACTGGACACTATTCACTGACTACAAGCACTATGTCTTTTTTTTTTTTAACTCCTACTGATGCTGGGACATGTTCTTCTCCCACTTGCCACTACAGCCCTCCTAAAGTCTGAAGGACAGGAAATTGGCCCTTTGTTTAGAAAGTTTGGAGATCCCTGATCTATCATAACCATTCCTGAACACTACATTGGCAGTATCATTGAAATGAGTCCAGAAAGTTTGCACTGACCTCCTATTACTGAGCATGGACAATTTTAATTGCTTTCTTGTACTGTTTTCTTTGCTCAAATTAACAAATGTCATCATCCTTACCACTGCTGTATAATCACAACACAGGTTTTGTACATGTCACAATCTAGTCTTTTACAGAGGATGTAAACCATGGGTAGGCAACCTTAAAGAGGTGGAGGTCTACCTGAACAACATGGGAGAAGTCAAAGATCACCGGGCACCACAGTGTTGCCTTCTTACACCCGATTTCAGCCTCTAATTGCCATACTATTGTGTCACAATCACATGCATTGCAAGGCAATCATGGGTGGTGAGGAAGCAACATATCACCTCCTGTCAAACCCACTTGGATCGCTTTTCAGCAGTGCCTACTGCATTTGTGAATGAGCCCTCAGATGCATTTAGCAGCGGCACCCTTAGGGCTCGTTCACTCACAAAGTTGGGAGGTGGTAAAACCCTGTGGTTGAGTTGTGGTTTTACCACCTCTAATCCCTATCTCCTATAGCTGATGAGGCACATGCCACAGCAGGAATTGACCCCCTGTTGCTTTTGGTGGGTGCTACCTCCTGCCAATAGTGACCAATTAAAGTAATTGGGACCACTCTGCAAGCGCCCCCCCCGCGCAACTGCATGTCTCTGTGGAACCCAAGGGGTTAAAGCAGGTGTGAGAAAGCAACACAAAGCTGCCTGCTTTAACCCCTTGTTTGCTGTACTGCACAAGGCTGCAGGGCACTTGAATGGGTCATGCTTGGCAGGTGCTACACCCACCAACCATGACAGGGTGTATAACTCCTGCTGCTGCGACATGTTTACACCCCTGGCCACTGCAGCTAAAGGGGGTGCAGATGGGGTGGGGGGTGGTAAAAACATGTCTTAACTATGGGGTTTTACTACCCCTCCAAACTGCATATGTAAATAAGCCCTTACTGTTCTGATGTAAGGATGCTTTCACATGGATATGCTGAGTTTTGGAGTGCTTTCAGAAAGTGCACCAAACCCACGGGATATAATAAAAAGCCTATGGCTAAGCGCAGCAAACCCGTAGGAAAGCTGCAGGTACACTGCACCCCGCGGTGTGGGTAAACCGCAGCACATCAGTGTGAAAGCAGCCCTATACTATTATGCCCAGTGTATTGCCTCACGCTGACCTGAATATCTCTTCTTTTCTGCTGCTGGCACCACTCAGGAGACCGCTGGCTGAGATCAGAGGTGGAGTGCAGTTGGTATCGCTCCGCATGGGACAGGAGTCGGCACTACAGAGGAGGCAGTGGCTCCTGTCCCTACGACAGCTCCAACTTTACAAATACGTAGCCCCCATGCATTGCACTCTGTTTGATGCTCTGGGATGGCGGGTCACCAAGCCAAGACCGCGCTCTACAGGTTGCTGACCCCTGGTGTAAACCCAATGTTTCATATTCCTGATATGTACCTGCTGTACCATTCACTTGTATGAAAAAGTATCCTGTTCTCTTTGTATTGCTTCCTTCCTGTGAAATCCCTGGTGTTCCCGACAGTCCCTTTGCTTTCCTATTTAAAAAAAAGACCACGCTAAGCAGGAGAAAACACCATGGTCAGTTCTGTAGCTCTCCTTCAATGATCAGACTTTTCCTGACACAAACCCCCTCTTCCCCCCTGCACAGCCATTCACTAGGAAGGTCGGTGAGCTACTGTTTCTCCTCCCACAGCTCTTATGCAGCTGAGAACAGAGGGAATGTGGTCACTTATAAAATAGGGGAAAAAAATCTATTTTTCTTTTAATACCTATACACAAATGGTTTGCCTTTCATTTCTATTTTAAACTGAGTGGATTGTTTACCAAGGTGAGGGTTTACTTTAACCTGTTTTATGATTCAATTGCAACATTGGTGCAAAGTCTCATAATATTAAGATAAACAGTACAATCTGGTTGTGACAGTAACAGAACAAAAAAATTGTTCCAACACAAAGAGATTATAGTTATAAAAACCCAAAAACAAAACTGTACTATATTGCAGCTCACCAGTTCTTTAATACAGTGGCTGCATTAGTTTTGCTTTTTTAGTATTTTTTTTTTCTTATTTTCACCGTGTGTTACCTTTTCTGACTTTCAGAACCATTCCCTTATCCCCCTAGTAACTTGCATCTGTTGATTCTCTTCGAGGTGGGAAAAGATCACAAGCGATCCTATGATCTGACTATCAAAGTCTGCAGTGGGATCACAGGATCCCCAGTTTGCAGAGATTGAGAGGAGCATTACCAAACCTTCAGGGGGAAAGACTGCAGTGGCTTCTGATGTAGTCCGGACACTTTCACCCCCATCCAGTCCAGGCCAATTTTCAGCTTTCAGCGCTATCACACTCTGAGTGATGATAAGTCATGCAACACTGAACCGATATATATTCTTTTTTTTTTTTTAAACAGATAGAGCTTTCTTTTGGTGGTATTTCAACACCACTAGGTTTTTTTTTTATTTTTTTTTGCTATATAAATGAAAAAAATACTAAAAATTTTGAAAAAAAAAAATTTTTTTGCTTAGTTTTTGTTATAAACTTTTGCAAATAGATAATTTTTCTTCATAAATTTAGGCCAAAATGTATTCTGCTACATTTTGTGGGTAAAAATAACCCAAAACAGTTTATATTATTTAGTTTGTGTGAAAGCTATAGGAGTCTACAAACTATGGGATATATATTTGAAAATTGATCAGTTGAGATCCTAAAATGCTGAACGCTAGTATGGCATATGGCAATAATCAGTACGCTGGTATGGGGTATGGTGATGATCAGAACATTAGCATGAGGTATGGTGCTGGTATGGCAGTAGCCAGGGCACTGTTATGGGGTAGGGGGGTGATCAGGACGGTGATGGACGCTGGTATGGGGTATGGCGGTGATCAGGACGCTGGTATGGGGTATGGCGGTGATCAGGACGCTGGTATGGGGTATGGCGGTGATCAGGACGCTGGTATGGGGTATGGCGGTGATCAGGACACTGGTATGGGGTATGGCGGTGATCTGCATGCTGATCTGGCTGGTATGGGGTATGGCGGTGATCAGGACCCTGATATGGGGTATGGCGGTGATCAGGACCCTTAAATGGGGTATGGCGGGGATCAGGATGCTGGTATGGGGTATGGCGGGGATCAGGATGCTGGTATGGGGTATGGCAGGGATCAGGATGCTGGTATGGGGTATGGCGGGGATCAGGATGCTGGTATGGGGTATGGCGGGGATCAGGATGCTGATAATCGGAGTGCTGGTATGGTGTTTGGCAGTGAGGAGGATGCTGCTAAGGTGTATGGCAATGATCAGGGTGCTGGTATGGCATATGGCAGTGATCAGGGTGTTGGTTTGGGGTATGGCGGTGCTCAGGACAATGGTATGGTGTATGGGTGTATTTTATGTACACTGTGACAGGTGACAGGGCCTCCCTGCATTATTTATTTTTGTTATTGTGGGGCAATGATCAGGGACACTGGGGCACTAAATTAGAGCACTGGGGTGGCTTGCACTGCAGAGTGTGAGTGTACAAGCAGCCAATCACTTCCACAGCCCCTGGTTCTGGTGCCCCCCGCAGTTCTACGACATTCCATGAGAGTGTGCAATTTTAAAGCGTGACATGTTGGGTATCTGTTTACTCGCCGTAACATTCTCTTTCATATTTTACAAAAAAATTGGGGTATATATTTTTTTTTTTGCTTTTTTGTAGTCAAAGTGTATTTTATTTTCACAAAATATATATTCACTTTTAAAAACTGCACACTTCAGTTTTGGTTTTTTTTTTCCAAGTGCATTTTGAATTTTAGTTTTCGGCACCAGAATTTTCATTTCGATGCACCACTACAAAGCACACCAAGATTCGATAAGAATGCATGTGCCCTTTATATTTCAACATTATTGCCTATCTGGAGCTTTCAGGCTCCAGAAACGGAGCAGAATTCCTCTCACAGAACCAGAATCATGTGTTTCTCATCCAATAGCCTGGATATTGGATGAGAAAGGGCCTAGTACAAATTGAATGGATTGTTCAGGTGTGTCCTCCAATTCCATAGTTTTGGTAAATCTAAAAGAAACTATACAGAGATTGTACAAATCAGATTGCATAGGTGTATGGCCATCTTTATACAAATACATATGAGGGAGTGGACGGAGACACTCAGCTGTCAGGTCCCATCTAGATCCTCACATAGCGGGAACTTACATTCCCACATGTGTTTTTTTTTTTTTAAAAAGGGGGGGGGGGGCCTTTTTATTACTCATTACACATAGGGCAGCCCATTCACTTGAATAGGCTGCCCTATGTGACAAATGCCCCAAAGAAGCACCAGAATTTTTTTTCTATTGCAGGGATGGCATGTTTTTTTATCAAGCTTTTTTGTTGCACTTGCAGCACGTTTAACCCTATGTCACTGTGAGCCCTTTTGTTGCAAGAATTGTAACCAAGAAATGGGAGGGTGGTCTGCATCTTGCACTGTGCTCCAAGATATGGAATTTACAGAGAAGTCAAAATTCCTCATCTTAATTGTACAGTACAGGACATAGGCATAGCATTCATAGATCCAAGGATGCCCCCAAGCAACGGTTGAGAAAGGTGGGCAACAACTAGGCAAGCAGAACTGTGCCAACATGCTCAACAACATCAAGGGTTAACAGACCTGACTTTACAGTGTCGCTGCAAGAACCTTGTGCATTTGCAGATGATTGGAAATCCACTTGGTAGAACTTTGAAAAGATATGAACAGAGGATCAGGTGACAGCCTTAAAAAGCCACAGAGGCCTGGTGTCAGAAAGCCCAGGAAATTCCCACTGATCTGAAAGAATGGGCAGGTAAAAATGCAGTGTTCTTATCCATCCCTCCTGACGGAGCCTCTCCCACCCACCTGGGAGCCTGGGATTGAAGCCGGTGGTTATGCCAGCTTACCATTGCGGCGATAGGGGACCAGATCTTCCCTGATCATCTCTATGGTTTAAGATAGAGATGTTCAGTTTGTTTCATTCTGAATCGAAATTCGGACAAATTTTCCGTTATTCGGATATATCCGAATTACAAGAGTAAAGAGTTTAACCACTCATATGACGTCCTTCCCGGGTTGCACCTTGCACGTGCCCGCAGGGCCACGCTGTGGCGAGATCTGTCACCAGCTGTGGACCTCGGACAAGTCTGATGACGGATCTGTGTACTGGCTCGTTGCCAGTACCATTTGACCTGCTGTGACCAATCACAGCAGGCCACATGACAGTTGTAAACAGTGGATGGCTTCCTTTCATGCCATCCATTGTATACAAGTGTGTCTAGCTGTGAATAGTCACAGTGATCACATGCACAGGCTGGGCCAATCACAGCCCATCTGTGTCATGTGATTAGCCATGGCCAATCACAACTGATCACAACAAAAAAACCTGAAAGAATCGATTTCATTCAGTTAAATGCTTGCTTATAGCAAATGAATTCTTTGCTATAAGCAATCAAATTGTGTAAAAAAAAAAAAATACTGATCACTTCTTCAAAGTAGTACAATGTTACTATGGTAACATTATACTACTTTGGTCATAGTGCAATATCAAAAGAGAATCTTTTTAAAAAAAAAAAATAAAATGTAATAAAAATAATAAAAAAAAACATTTGAAAAACAATTATCAATTTTTTTTTCCCATACTGTCACCAGTCTGTGTCCCTGATCGCCGCCACACCAGTTATATGATGACGCTGTACTGCACTAGTGACAGTATGTAAAAATAAATTGTAAAAATATTAGCAATATTAACAATAGCATAAAGAAAAATAAAATAAAAAATAAAAAAAAAAAAAATCGAAAAGAATGGAGGAAAAAAAACAAAATAGAAAGTAAAAGAATAGAACAGAATACAGCAGAAAATAATTATTATTATTATACAGGATTTAAATTGCGCCAACAGTTCGCTCAACGCTTTACAATATAACGGGAAACAATACAGCAACAATACAAGAGGGTTAGGAGGGCCCTGTTCTTTGGAGCTTACAATCTAGGAGGGAGGGGCTAGTGGTATAAAAAGGTAGTAACTGTGGAGGATGGACTGGTAGGAGGAATAGAAGATTCTATTATTAGCTGAGTTCAGGATAGGCTTCCCTGAAGAGATAGGTTTTCAGAGATCACCTAAAAGTGAGCAGAGTAGGCAATAGTCTGATAAATTGGGGAAGAGAGTTCCAGAGGATGGGAGAAGCTCTGAAGAAGTCCTGAAGACGAGCATGGGAGGAAGAGACAAGGGAGCTAGAGAGTAGAAGGTCATACGAGGAGAGGAGAGTACAGTTTGGGTGATATTTGGAGACAAGATTGGTGATGTAATAGAGTAAAACAAAGCAAAATAGATTAGAAAATACAGGAATAGAATCAATTAGAATAGAGAAGATGTCAGCGTGAGGAAAGTACTGCCGATAACCGTCAACTGGATTTGTTCTGTGATCTGCTGTGTCATTGGACACAGCTGGTCACGTGGTAATACAGCGCTGTGATTGGCCTTTTACTTAGTCATGTGATCAGCTGTGTCTGGAGATTACTGGGGGGACACGGGAGGGCACGGTCTGGGGGGACTCATAGGACACCCTCCCAGAACTGGATAACCGTGCTGTAGCCGTCATTTGGTTAGCAAGTGTTTAAATACCCAGACCAGCCCATCTGGCACCAAACAACCACGCCATGTTCAAACTCACTTAAATCCCCTTTCTTCCCCATTCTGATGCTCGGTTTGAACTTCAGCAAGTTGTCTTCACCACATCTAGATTCCTAAATACATTGAGTTGCCGCCATGTGATTGGCTGATTAGCAATTTGTGTTACCAAGCAATTGAACAGGGGTACCTAATAAAGAGGCCGGAGAGTGTATGGCACACGGTTATCCACTAGCACACTGGTTATATATTTCTTGTACCTTGACACATGAATGTAGAAGAGGTAGGTGACCCTGGACTAACCTCTACCCAAAACTAGAAAAAAAAACAAAAAACGTTTTTCCCTCACAAGGTGACTTCACTGAGCAAAGAAAATATAATTCCATGAACGGTCATTCCAATTTCTGACCAACAGAGGGCGCACATTTGCAAGAAAAGAGAGCAGTCCAGTCAGGCGAGGCATATCACAGGGCCGCCAAGCCTACAGGAGGAGTAGAATGGACGTGCTCGGCTATGTCATGACATGAGAACAAACAGCTGTCTTTATCGACAAACCGACATAGGAGATAAACTGCCACTTACACGGGCCACTAGGACTCTCAGTCCTTGAATCGACTTCATAGCGACTGTTGGTGCGACTGATATCTGCGTTCCCCGGAAACACTTCCTCACACAACTAGGTTCCTTCTTGCAGAGTTAACCCTTTCTGGGTATAGAGGACTCAGTGTTCCTAATGGAATACTCTTCTGTGCAGAATCTGGTGTACTGTGCTCTATGTATACACTGCTCAGAAAAATGAAAGGAACACTTTGAAAACACATCAGATCTCAATGTGAAAAATCTGATATGGACTGGGTGATGTGTTAGGAATGTCAAGATGCAAGTGTACAATGTAAACACACACGTTCCTGCATTAAAAATGGCTGTGTGTATAAGTGGGTGCTGCAGCGACTGAACAGAATCAGCAATTCTCCCATGTCACCAGCACAGCCAGGATCTTCAATATGGTCCAAATGTTTTAATAAACGATCACATAGCTACAGCAAGGCAACGTTTCGGACTCTTGCAGGACCCCTTCATCAGGTATGCAGCCATGTGTGATGAAGGGGTCCTGCTAGAATCCGAAACATTGCCTTGCTGTAGCCATGTGATCGGTTATTAAAACGTTTGGACCGATATTGATGATCCTCGGTGTGCTGGTGACATTCTCCCTTGCTGAGGAACGTAAGGATTCCCCATCGTTTGATGGAAATGAAAATATCAACCTACAGAGGACTAAATTTAAAGACACCCCAAAAATCAAAGTGAAAAAAAAATGATGCAGCAGGCTAGTCTGTTTTGCAGAAATTTCATTGCAGCAACTCAAAATGGTACTCAGCAGTTTGTATGACCCCCATGTGCTTGTATGTATGCCTGACAACATTGGGGCATGCTCCTAATGAGATGACGGATGGTGTCCTGGGGTATTTCCTCCCAGATCTGGACCAGGGCATCACTGAGCTCCTGGACAGTCTGAGGTGTAACCTGGTGGCGTCAGATGGACCGGACCATGATATCCCAGAGGTGTTCTATTGGATTTAGGTCAGGTGAGAGTGGGGGTCATTCAATGGTATCAATTACTTCATCCTCCAGGAACTGCCTGCATACTCTCACCACATGAAGCCGGGCATTGTTGTGCACCAGGAGGAACCCAGGACCCACAGCAACAGTGTAGGGTCTGACAATGGGTCCAAGGATTTCACCCCGATCCCTAATGGCAGTCAGGGTGCCGTTGCCTAACCTTTAGAGGTCTGTGCGTCCCTCCATGGATATGCTTCCCCAGACCATCACTGATCCATCATGAAAACAGTCATGCTGAACGATGTTACAGGCAGCATAACGGTCTCCACGGCTTCTCCAGATCTTTTCACGTCTGTCACATGTGCTCAGGGTGAACCTGCTCTCATCTGTAAAAAGTGGCAGATCTGCCAATCCTGGCGTTCAATGGCAAATGCCAATTGAGCTCTATGGTGCTGAGCAGTGAGCACAGGGCCCACTAGAAGACATCGGGGCCTCAGGCCACCCTCATGAAGTTGGTTTCTGATTGTATGGTCAGAGACATTCACACCACTGGCCTGCTGGAGGTCATTTTGTAGGGCTCTGGAAGTGCTCATCCTGTTCCTCCTTGCACATAGGAGCAGAGACTGGTCCTGCTGATGGGTTAACCCCTTCACACCTAAGGGTAAAACAAATCTTAACACCCAAGCACAGTCTTGCAACAATGTGTTAGTAAAACCGTACATATCATCACAACTACTTTGTACATCCAGGACCTTGTTTTTTTACCTGTTTTTTTCAGGGCAAATTGGGCTTTCGTTCGGTGGTAAATGGTAATGGATATCTCCTGATTTTTTTTATTATCAAAGGAAAACTGTCCCAAAATAGAAAACTGTACAAAAAAATTATGTTTTTTAAATTTAGCTGTGTGTTTCTTGTTACTACCTTCACCTACCATCAAAGAACAACCCAAAATAAATTTTCCAGCTCTTGACGATCGCAGTGATACCATATATGTGTACGTTATTTGTTGTTTGTACCCGTAGTACAGCCCAGAAACAATAGTGCGCATTTTGTTTTTTTACCTAATATACACTGACACTGGGCACAATTCACTAAAGCTTATCGCATGAGTTAAGTCAGTCACATGACCACATATCTCATGCGATTCTGAAAATGTCAATTCACTATTGCTAGTATGCGGTATTTACCAAAAATAGCAAAGACACTCGGTAAATACTGCATAAAGAGACCTTAAAGTCAATTCACAAAAGGAAATAAATCATTACATGTATGCGGTAATTAAGTAGTGATCCAGGCTTGCTGTATGTACTGTATCTGTCAGTACTGTCATGGGTTGTTAACCACTTCCCGACTGGCCGTTGTATATAAACGGCCGGACGGTGGCACTGCTGGGTCGGGTGGCCGTCTATAAACGGCCTCCCCGCACCCTGCTTGTGCGCGCTCCCTGGGAGCGCGCAGCACCGCGATCCGGTGCCCGCTGTGTCCTCCGGACACAGTGAAACACCGATCGTCGGACGGGACCTCTGTACAAGGTCCCGATCATGTGATCACTGATTGGCCAATCAGTGATCACATGCAAAGTAGTAAGCAAGATGTCACTTCTGACATCATTGCTTACTATGTGTGAAATCTGTGAATGATCACAGAGGTCACATGGTACAAGGCTATTCACAAAAGCCTTGTACCATGTGACGAGCTGTGACCAATCACAGCTCAATCAGTTCTTCTCAATGAGTGCAAGAATGCACACAGAGAGAAAGAGAAATTATTGCTTTTACATCCTATATGGGTGTAAAAGCAATCAGTGTAAAAAAAAAAAAAAAAAATCTTCATCACCCCTCACAAGTAGTACAGTGTCACCATGGTGACACTGTACTGCTAGGGTGACAGTATGTAAAATAAAAAATAATAATATAAACAAATAAAATAAAAATGTAAAAAAAAAAGTTTAAAAATTATAATTTTTGCTTATAAACTAATTTGGATTTTTTTTTTTTTACTAAAAAGATAACGGAATAAATTTTGGCTAAGATTTATGATGAAATATTATTTATTTGCAAAATTTTATAAAAAAAAACACTTTTTTTATCTATCTCAAAAAAATGGTAAAAAATTCATTTGGGTACAGTGTTGCATGACCGCGCAATTGTCATTCAAAGTGTGATAGCGCTAAAAGCTGAAAATTGCCCTGGTCAGGAAGGGGGTAAAAGTGTCCGGTCTGGAAGTGGTTAAGGAATGGGTGGCCGCATAGTTCCTAACAACCTATGAGTCATCAGCTGTTAGCGGGGTTCCCCACTGACAGCTGAATGTAAAAAAAAAAAAAAATTGCTGGCAATTAAAATATAATTTAAAAAACAATGTGTGGTCCCCCCCCCCCCATCCATACCAAGCCCTTTGGGTCTGGTTTGGATTTTGAGGGGAACCCCCATGTCAAAAATTAAAAAAAATTGGCATGGGTTCCCCCCCAAAATCTATACCAGTCCCTTATCTGAACATGCAGCCCAGCAGGTCAGGAAAAAGGGGGGGGGGGGGGAGCGAGCGCCCGCTCCTTAACCATACCAAGCCACATGGTCTCAACATTGTGGGGTGCTTTGGGACAGGGGGACTCCCCCCCAAAGTACCTTGTCCCCATGATGATGCGGAGCAGTCAGATGGCCGGGAGCGGAGCCAATTTTTTTCTTTTTTCGGGTGGCGGCGGTGGGCATCGTGATTGACTTTGGATCTACTGCAGGGGACATTCTTTTATTTTCCTTCTTTTAATAAAGGACTTGTCAAAGTCGGTCTCCTGTCTTTTTTCACACTACAGGGTTTTTTTGTGAATGGGTAGTGGTACCATGTACCCCATACTCATTCACATTGTGGGGCTGGGATCTGGGGGCCCCCTTGTTAAAGGGGGCTTCCAGATTCCGATAAGCCCCCGCCTGCAGACACCCACAACCACCGGTCGGGGTTGTGGGGAAGAGGCCCTTGTCCCCATCAACATGAAGGCAAGGTGCTGTGGGGGAGGAGCCCCCCTGCCCCAAAGCACCCCCCCATGTTGAGGGCATGTGGCCTGGTATGGTTCAGGAGGGGGGGGGGGCGCCTGCTCATCCCCCCCCTTTCCTGACCTGCTGGGCTTCATACTCGGATAAAGGTATTTTTGAAAAAAAAAAATGTTGGCATGGGGGTTCCCCTCAATCCATACCAGACCCGAAGGGCTTGGTATGGATGGGGGGACGGGACACCACGCCGTTTTTTAAAAATTTTTTTGTAGGCAATTCTTTCTTTTACATTCAGCTGGCAGTGGGGAACCCCGCTGACAGCTGAAACATCAACGCATGGTTTTCACTACTAAAATATCACATGACTGGATAAAATAACACAGTATTTTAGTCGTTTTTTTAGTGAATTCAAACATGTTTTTTTTTTAAATGCTGTGCGGTATCCTACCGCATACTCAGATGCGGTAGGATACCACACAATGTATCCCTCTCCTCCATTCATAGAGAAAAAAAAACAAAGGGGGGTAGGCTATACAGTGACTGATCACTGTGATAGCCAATCAGAGGCTATCACAGCGATCATGTGACCCAGGATCGGGAGTCCCGATCATTAGAACGGGACCCGGGGCTCTCAGTGACACCCCGGTCTTTGTGCTGGGAGCACGCTGTGTGGCGCACTCCCAGCACAAAGACAGGTACGCTAATATGTGGCCCCACGGAAAAAAGCCCAGGTCTATGAGGCCGCATATTTGTGTTACATCAGCGTTAAGGGGTTAATGGCACATATTGAGGAGCCATCCTGGAGGAGTTGGACTGCCTGTGCAACCTCTGTAGGGTCCAGGTATCACCTCATACTACCAGTAGTGACACTAACACCCATGCATGCCATTCCTCTGCAGTGTACACCATATTGTGTCACGGGAAACAGTCACCCCAGTTTGACTTTCTACTTCTTTAGTTAACTGCAGTGAACTTGCATGATGATATTCTTCAAGCCTTCTCATCAGAAGACGCTCCTGTCGAGATGTTAACTCCTGTGGACGGCCTAGACGTTTCTGTGAGGTTGCAGTTCTATCTTTGCTACATTTTTGTATCACTTTTTCTACAGTATTCTGCCTGATAAATTAATATTTGCTGATCTTCTTGTAGCCTTCACCTTTCTTGTGTAAAGAAATTATTTTCTCTCAGGCTTTGTGACATTTCTCTTCCATGTGGTGTCATTGTTGACAGCATGAAATGGGAGTGGTTTCTTTGTTAAGTAACGCCCTTTTATAATCATCTGTCTGCTGGACATCTGTTTAATGAATAATTAGACTCACCTGTAGTTGAATTCTTGTTAGATAGGATTTTTGTCTATAATGTAGCTTTGCTCCTAATGCAGGCCATAGATGGGTCGAAAATCAGCCGATTTTTCGGCCGAAAATAAAATCGGCCGATTTTCGGATCGTTAGTGGGCGATTTGGTCGGCCGTTTTTCGGTATTTTGGCCGTTTTTTTTTTTTTTTCGGTAAAGTTGGAAAAAAATCAGCCGATTTTGCCGATCGGCCGATTTTCGCGGCAATTAGTGGGCAAATCGGCCGATTTTTTACCGATAAAAAATCTGCGCATGAGCAGTGACCTGCAAGAGGAAGACAAAAAGAAGAAAAAGAAGAAGAGGAAGACGATGAAGAAGAGGATGAAGAAGAAGAAGAGGAAGAGAAGAAGAGGATGAAGAAGAAGAGGATGAGGATGAAGAAGAGGATGAGGATGAAGAAGAAGAAGAAGAGGATGAGGATGAAGAAGAGGATGAGGATGAAGAAGAAGAAGAAGAGGATGATGATGAAGAAGAAGAGGATGAGGATGAAGAAGAAGAAGAAGAAGAGGATGAGGATGAAGAAGAAGAAGAAGTAGGATGAAAATAAGAAGAATTCCAGTCCAGCAAAAAGTGTCTCTGCAGAGAGCTCTGCTATTTCTGACAGTTCTCTGACAGTTCCTTGACATTTACAGCGGTTGAAACATTGTATCTATTTGTTTCCGAATAAAAACATCTGTATCCTAAATGGAAACAAATAGATACATTGTTGCAACTTCTATAAATGTCAAGGAACTGTCAGAGAACTGTCAAAGAAATAGCAGAGCTCTCTGCAGGGACACTTTTTGCCGGCTCTAGACGGGTAGAAAATCGGCCGATTTTTTTTACCATTGATGGTAACGTCGGCCACTTGAACAACCGATTTTTCGTTTTTTAAAAGAAAAATCTGCAGTTTTTCTCCCCATCTATGGCCTGCATAAGACTGTCGTTGGGGTGTATTCATTTTTGCAACATGGTCTTGAATTATAATCAAACAATTCCTCTTGCGCTTAATGGAGTTCCTATATAAATAAGCTGCTGACACCCAATACTGAGACCTTATACAGTAGCCAAATAGATAAATTCATATGGTGTAGTTAATGGTATACAATCCTGTGCCAACTCAAACATGCGTGATAGTCAGTATTATTTACTATAAATCTCATAATCATTCAGACGACTTGATTGGTCAATCATGTCAGTGATTAAAGTGAAAACAACAATCCTTTTCTGATAGTTCATAAAAACTCATTCTTAACTTGAATAAAAGAAACATACATGTGGCAATAACGCATGTGCATTCAAGTGATGGTGTTAGCACACTCCTCCTGTGGCTAGATTGCCCCCTCACCTTAAATCTGTAACCCAAAGGGCCTTCAAGCCTTTAAGATCACTAAGGATCTTTCTCCAAGGGTAAATCCCTCTATCACGCTCTTGTGGACACTCCAATGGACTCCTCACTGATAGGTAGGTATTCAGGACCCTCTGTGTACTGCTTTCAACTGGGAATATCACTCATCATAACCATGATGAGTGAAGAAGAAAAACTTCCATAGGGCAGTATTCTTGTATAAAATTCGGTATTTAATATATATGTAATGCACACTCAGATTCGCAGATCCTGACGAAGTCACGAGACAGGTGACTTTACGCTGTGATGCAGCTTCCGGTTGGCCCGAGGTGACACACATTCGGTGCGGCGGCCATCTTCATACACCCATCAAGCCAGAACCCATGCAATGCACCCAGGCATGAGGTTACTTCCTACTGAAGTGGAACATCTGCGAATGAAAAGTTAAAAAGCTTGCTTCTGGGTCTGGAGAGCGCATGCGCGCTCCCCCTGCTGCCCTGTGCTGCGGTTGGACACGATTTTGTCAGCAGGTCCCTGCCAATGATTTATGGCTGAGACCTGCTGATCGGCTGTGTCCAAACAATTGTTTACAAACACAGAGCAGTGCTCTGGCTGTTTCTTCTTCCTGCAAAGCAGGAAAGTAAAAGCAGCACATATTACACACATTACACATTGGTAGGCACACAGTTAACCAGGGGCAGACTGACCATTTGGAAACTCGGGCACTGCCCGAGGGCCTGGGGTCAGTAGGGGGCCCCATGAGATGCCCCTGGTACCTTTTTCACAGGCTTTTTTGAGTTTGGGCAAGGACACAGGGGCCCCATGATCCCCTATTGCCCGGGGGCCCCATGAGTTGTCAGTCCGCCCCTGCAGTTAACACTTTGATTGCCCCTAGATGTTAACTCCTTCACAGCCAGTGTCATTAGTACAGTTTTATATCTGATCACTGTATTTGTGTCACTATTGATGTCAGTTAGTGCATCTCCCAGTGGGAGATTGTTAGCGCCAGATTGCCCGCCACACTATCACAGTCTCACTATAGGTTGCTGATCACCACCATTATCATTATAGCGTCATAAATTACAGTATACAATATCTCAGCAAATTTACACTGGTATACAAGCTGTACACTCACTACTTTACATTGTAGCAAAATGTCGTTTCTTGAGTGTTGTCACATGAAAAGATAGAATAAAATATTTACAAAAATGTGAGGGGTGGACTCACTTCTGGGAGATACTGTATATACCATAGTTTGTAGACACTATAACAAATAATATACGTTTATTGGGATGGTTTTTACCAAACAATCAATTAATGTATATATAATTGTATTAATACCGGTGCCATCAAAACGTTACCAAAAACACAAACTCAAAACCTTAAAATTATATTAAAAGTCCTTTATCTTCAGTGAATGAAATCTTGTGCCGTATGCAATACATACCATCGTTTGTGCTATAATAACCCCGCCACCAGATGTCTGCTCACCTCCACTTTACGACCTCACATATACTGCTCGGTCATTAAACACCGTTTTGTCCCTTCAATGGACCATGTGGATCTCCTGTAAGGACTTTGATCAATCCTCACAGCTCTCCTTCCATCAAGCCACTCCGCCTCATGGAAACAAATTGACATTGTGCTTTATCCTTTAAAACTTTTTATTTGTATCATAAACATATAAAATTTGTACTCACTTGTAGTAGGTGCCCATTTGCAACAAATGTGCACAGCATGGACGAGAGAGGGTTGGCGGTCCTGTGCAATAACCACCTCTACCTCCGATTAGGTTGCAACACTCGCTATCCCAGTTGAGCGTTGTGACGTCATCCGACCAGGGGCACTGGTATTGATACAATGTTTTGATGGCACTGGCATTGATAAAATGATATATACACTAAGCGCTGCACTGATTGATTGCTTTCATTCTGTTACACTTAATATGTGAGATATGCATAGGGTACGTAGCTACTGATAAAGGAGGGTTTATGTTTTAGCTGAATAAGCAATCGTTTACAGCCAATATAAAAGGTTTTGTAATAGTTTTTTTGTTAATTGCATTAGGAAAAGTTTTATATAGTTTTGTTATAATTCATTTAGCACAGTGGTTCTCAACCTGTGGGTCGCAACCCCTTTGGGGGTCGAACGACCCTTTCACAGGGGTCCCCTAAGACCATCAGAAAACACATATTTCCGATGTGTAAAGAGCAGCTACTGTGTAGAAAGCAGCTGCTGTGTTGAAAGCAGCTGCTCTGTTAAAAGCAGCTACTGTGTTGAAAGCAGCTACTGTGTTGAAAGCAGCTACTGTGTTGAAAGCAGCTACTCTGTTAAAAGCAGCTACTGTGTTGAAAGCAGCTGCTCTGTTAAAAGCAGCTACTGTGTTGAAAGCAGCAGTATTGGAGGTAAAACGACACTCATGAATTATAATTGCTGGGTAAATAATTTTATGGTTGGGGGTCACCACAACATGAGGAACTGTATTAAAGGGTCACGGCATTAGGAAGGTTGAGGACCACTGATTTAGCAGCTTGCAAGGTTTCACAGGTTTTACCAAAGACTTGTAGCAGAATACATTTTGGTCTACATTTTTTGAAGAAATGCACACTTTGTTGTGTGTTTAGAAACCGTGAGGCGACGTGTCTCACGCTTGCGTTACCATTTGTTCACAACTGTGCGTTTCTGAATGCACTGCAACCCACAAGAAAGTGCACGGCAATGTGCATCACGCTTGAGCTAGAATTTAGGCTGCATTCACGTCTGCACATTTCTGACTGCGCCGCAACACACACAGAAAATAAATGCTTTGCTGCACATTTCTGAATTGTGCTTGACTTGTCGTTATGGTGACACAAGTGCGATGTGTGTTTGCAGCATATTTCTGAATTGTGCTTGACTTGTCGTTATGGTGACACAAGTGCGATGTGCGTTTGCAGCACATTTCTGAATTGTGCTTGACTTGTCGTTATGGTGACACAAGTGCGATGTGCGTTTGCAGCACATTTCTGAATTGTGCTTGACTTGTCGTTACGGTGACACAAGTGCGATGTGCGTTTGCAGCACATTTCTGAATTGTGCTTGACTTGGCATGATGGTGACTCAAGTGCGATGTGTGTTTGCAGCATATTTCTGAATTGTGCTTGACTTGTCATGATGGTGACACAAGTGCGATGTGCGTTTGCAGCACATTTCTGAATTGTGCTTGACTTGTCGTTACGGTGACACAAGTGCGATGTGCGTTTGCAGCACATTTCTGAATTGTGCTTGACTTGTCGTTACGGTGACACAAGTTCGATGTGCGTTTGCAGCACATTTCTGAATTGTGCTTGACTTGTCATGATGGTGACACAAGTGTGATGTGCGTTTGCAGCATATTTCTGAATTGTGCTTGACTTTTCACGATGGTGACACAAGTGCGATGTGCGTTTTGCAGCACATTTCTGAATTGTGCTTGACGTGTCGTGATGGTGACACAAGTGCGATGTGCGTTTGCAGCACATTTCTGAATTGTGCTTGACTTGTCGTTACGGTGACACAAGTGCGATGTGCGTTTGCAGCACATTTCTGAATTGTGCTTGACTTGTCGTTACGGTGACACAAGTGTGATGTGCGTTTGCAGCACATTTCTGAATTGTGCTTGACGTGTCTTGATGGTGACACAAGTGCGATGTGCGTTTGCAGCACATTTCTGAATTGTGCTTGACTTGCCGTTATGGTGACACAAGTGCGATGTGCGTTTGCAGCACATTTCTGAAAATGCGCTGCAAAGAATGCGTTTTCTGTTCTGGTTGCTGCACATTCGGAAACATGGAGATGTGAATGCAGCCTAATTGTTAATGAAAACCCCAATCATGGTTAGCAGATGGGTCTTTTGCCATTTGAAAATGTTCTAGAGCTACTTTTGGGCATTTGTCGTGCGCATGGCAGCCCATTCAAGTGAATGGGCTGTCCTATGTGTGATACACAATTATACTTGAAAACCGCACAAAAAAAAGTGAGCGGGAACATGCATTTCTGCGATACTCAGGTGTGAATAGAATGTGCTCGGGTGTTTTTTTGGCAACAAGGATGACCAGGGAGGAGAGGTGAGGGTTAAAAAAAAAACACTGATCCTTTTATTCCTATTATTAAAGTCACTTTGAATTTGCAAAGACACTGCTTGTGCAATATAAATCCCAAAAGAAAAAATATATCTACAGTATTAGTGTTTAATTGTGCCTACTATGCAGTGCAAGTTACAAAGGAAATAGTGCAAATAAATTATATAAAATAAATAAAATGAATTATATTAAATAAAACAAAAAATCACCAATTCATATGAGATTAAAAAAGTCAACGAATTAAATCACATTATAAATTCATTAACTCAATAAGCCCACATGCACACGATGTAATAACGATGGTGACGTTAGCTGTGTAAAGTCACATTTAAAACGCGTTTGTTGCGTTTTACCGCGTTAAAGCGTTTTTACAGCTAGAAAATTCCTCTAGAAACCCACTAGTCCTGTTTTTTTTTTCCAGCCAAAAAATATTGATTCCAGTCTATGTGTGCATGGACACATAGGATAACTTGTTGGGGGATTTACTGTTTGTAGAAAAAAAAACGTCAAAAGCCAAAAACAGCCGCTGTAAAAACGTGAAGTGTGCATGAGGACTAAAGCAGAAGCAAGCGTTCATTGAAGGCCTATTCAAAATGAGTCAAAGCACAAAAATACATGAAAAGAACCTAAACAAAATGCTGAAAGGTAGGACTTTTATGACAGGACAGACCCAATCGGTCTCTTCCATCATAAATGCTTCTCTCTGCCCGTCAGCATTGATATACATCGAGCCACACATGCGCATCTCGGTGTGTATTTACAGCACTGCTCTGTGCTGTGATGATGTGACTGTTGTGTGCATGCGCTGCAGGGATATCATCATGGCCTGGCCAATCTGAGCCTGGAAGGAAGACCTGGAGAAGGATGCAAGCCCCCATGACCAGTGGGAGCACGAAGACTGCAGCACTAGCGGGGATCGTTTAACTGGCAAGTCTGCCATAACAGCAATATGACGAACAGCTCTAGGGGGCTAATTAACCACTTGCCGTCTGGCTGCTGATTATAAACGGCAGGACGGTGGCACTCCAGGGGCGGGTTGCCGTTCATAAACGGAACCCACCATTTCTAGCTGTGCGTGCTCCCTGGGAGCGCGCAGCACCACGATCCAGTGCCCGCTGTGTCCTCCAGACACAATGAAACATTGATCGTTGGACGGGACGTCTGTACAAGGTCTCGATTATGTGATCACTGATTGGCCAATCAGTGATGACATGCAAAGTAGTAAGCAAGATGTCACTTGTGACATCATTGCTTACTACGTGTGAAATCTGTGAATGATCACAGAGGTCACATGGTACAAGTCTATTCACAACAGCCTTGTAACCATGTGACAAGCTGTGACCAATCACAGCTCACTCAATAGTTCTCAATGGCTGCAAGAATGCAGACAGAGAGAAAGAGAAATGATTGCTTTTACATCCTATATGGGTGTAAAAGCAATCACTGTAGAGAAAAAAAAAAAAAAAAATCTTCATCACCCCCCACAAGTAGTACAGTGTCACCATGGTGACACTGTACTGCTAGGGTGACAGTATGTTAAAAAAAAAAAAAAAAAACCATACAGTGTTGCATGACCGCGCAATTGTCATTCAAAGTGTGATAGCACTGAAAGCTGAAAATTGCCCTGGACAGGAAGGGGGTAAAAGTGTCTGACTGGAAGTGGTTAAAAAAAAAAACGGCAGGGTTTAACACACTGGGTGTGACTTGGCATTCGATTTGCATGCCATGCAACTTGCAAATCGTATGCCAAGTTGCACCCTATTGTCCGCAATCACAGCTGTGAAATCAGTGCGGTTCTGACTTGGTCAGAGCCGCACCGATTTCTAAAGTAGTACATGCACTACTATCCATGCGATTTGCATAGACATCTGTGTCAGATGTCTTGCAAATCGCACCAGAAATCGGCAGATCACCAGAGTTTGAAATCGTGCGACTTCACCGTAAGTCACATTCTGATTTCAAAGTCAGGCTTGATGTGACCGGGGTGTAAAGTGGAAGCTTCGGTCCTCATGCACACTGGACATTTTCACAGCGGCTGTTTTTGGCTTTTGACTTTTTTTCTACAGCTAGTAAACCCCCCCAGTATGTTATCCTATGTGTCCATACATACATAGACTGGTTCAATGTTTTTTGGCTGGAAATAAACACCTGGACTAGTGGTTTCTAGAGGAGTTTTTTAGCTGTAAAAATGCTCTAATGCTGAAAGACGCAGTAAACTGCCGCAAACTGGCGTTTTTTTTTGATTTTTTTTTACAAAAAAACCACAACATTTTTATGGTGAAAAAAAACGCAAACGCAGGAAAACTCTACTAAACGCTAATGCAAAAACGCTAAAAAACTCATGTTTTTAACGTGACTTTACACAGCTAACATTACCAGTGTTATCAAAACGTCCCGTGTGCATGGAGCTTTAAAAGGTTCAGTTTACACCAGACTGGATGCGTTTCTGCATGCTTGTATTTAACAAATTTCTGATGTGTTCCGGTGAGTGTCGCTCCCCCCCCTTTTTTTCCCCTCCATCTTAAAGTGTTACAAAACCCACAACAGTAAAATCTGTCTGTATATGCAGTAAAGCATGCTTGTTAAACACTTGCCGCCCAGCCACCGCATATAAAAACGGCGGCAGGGCGGCGCTCGTAGGCAAAAGCACGTTTTAAAACGGATGCCTTCAAAACAGGTAGGGGGCGCGCGCGAGCGCGCGCCCGCCCTACATGTCCCGCGGGTGTCAGCAGCGGGTGTCAGCTGCCGGGTCACGGCCAGTTTTTACCGGCCGTTTTCCCGCGATTGACGGTGATCGCTGACACAGAGCAGGGCTGCATTGTTTACACACAGCCCTGTTCTGTGTCAGTTCTCTGACAGCTTGTGAGAAGCTGCAGAGTTTCTCTCCCTAGATCATCTCCCCCCTCCCTCCCCCCCTCCAGTACACACCCCACCCCCTAGTAAAACACTCCCCTTACACAGCAAATTCTAAAAATGTTAACCCCTTCCTCCCCAGTGACATTAGTACAGTTTCAGTGTTTTTTTTTTCACTGATCACTGTATTGGTGTCACTGGGGATGTCAGTGACTCCAGGTCAGTTCCCCTCCAGTGTCAAAATTTCCGCCGCAGTCCTGCCATAAGTCGCCGGTCGCCGCCATATGTCTCTGATTGCCGCCATATGTCGCTGATCGGCGCCATTATTAGTATAAATAAAAATTAAAAATCCCAGTATCTTTCCCGCCATTTGTAAACGCTATAACTTTCACGTAAACCAATTAATTTACAAGTATTGGGTTTTTTTTTTTTAGCAAAGACATGTCGCAGAATGCATTTTGGCAGAAATTTATGACTAAATTTGATTTTTGCATTTTTTTTTTTACTGGGCATGTTTTATAGCAAAAAGTCCAAAATATTGTTTTTTTTTCCTCAAAATTGTCAGCCTTTTTTTTTTTTATAGCACAAAAAATAAAAACCGCACAGGCGATCAAATACCACCGAAAGAAAGCTCAATTTGTGGGGAAAAAAGGATGTAAATTTCATTTATGTACCATATTGCATGACCGCGCAATTGTCCGTTAAACTAGCGCAGCGCTGTATAGCAAAAAAATGGCGTAAATTGCAGTATTTATACCATAGTTTGTAGACGCTATAACTTCCACACAAAGCAATCAATATACACTTATTGGGATTTTTTTTTACCAAAAACATGTAGCAGAATACATTTTGGCCTAAATTTATAACCAACTTTGAGTTTACTATATATTTTTTATAGCTGAAAGTAAAAAATATTGTTTTTTCTTCAAAATTTTTGGCCTTTTTTTGTTTATAGCGTGAAAAATAAAAAGCGCACAGGTGATCAAATGACACCAAAAGAAAGCTCTATTTGTGTGAAAAAAGGACGTAAATTTCGTTTGGGTGCAGCATTGCATGACCGCGCAATTATCAGTTGAATTAGTACAGCACCGAGTAGCAAAAAGAGGCCTAGTCATTAAGGGGGGTAAATCCTCAGGAGCTCAAGTGGTTAATGTCACTGTGGAACCTAAGGGGTTAATCCTCTGCATTGTGTGAAAAGGATGTTTGATCCCGTCTTCTCTGTTCTTCCCCTTTTTCAAATGTCCACGTCTTATCTCCTGATAAGACAGACTGAATTGCAGCCTTTCTGCACATGCACAGTTTAGTGTGTATTGCTAGAGAGGGGTTTTTTTTGTCCTTAAGAGAGTGCATGTGATTAGCACAGGGCCAATCACCACTGTCTAGACAGAGGTCAGGGGTTTTACATCCTCCTAGAGCAGAAAGAAAACCCCTCCTACAAGCTTAAACATGTGCTCTGCTGGACACTGATAGAAGTCAAGACTGCTCTAACTTCTGATGAGAAAAAGGTATTTAGCAGTTTATATTTACTAAAATAATTGCATTTCCATGTTCTGTGTACTGTGGGAGACCAGATATAGTGAATGCAGGGTCCGGGGTTTAGTAACATTTAAATAGGGACATGTGCATTCTGGGGCGTTCAAGTGCATTTTTGATGCGTTTTGAAACATTCCAGCACAGTTCAGTGCAGAAAAAATGCAGCATGTTCTTTTGGACTGGAACTGAGCACACGGGTGTGAACTAGGCAGTTGGAACCCATATAACCTACTGTCCATGCAGTTTTGATGCAGAAAAAGAGTGGACTGCATTTGGTGTGAACTGGCCTTTAGCCCTGATTCACACGATGCATTTTTAGATGCATTTCAGAACTCACGAAATTGCATGACATGGTAAATAACATGGTTTTCACATACGTGCAGACCAAACACGGTGTGGTTTAAAAAAACGGTCAAGGAGCGGTGTGGTGCGATTTAGAAGTCCATAGACTGCAGAGAGAGAGACCAGGCCATAACTCAAAATCACAACCAGGGGCGGACTGACCATTTAGAAACTCGGGCCCTGCTGAGGGCCCAGGGTCAGTAGGGGGCCCCATGAGATGTCCCTGGTACCTTTTTCATAGGCTTTTTTGAGTTTGGGCAAGGACACAGGGGCCCCATGATCCCCTATTGCCCGGGGACCCCATGAGTTGTCAGTCCGCCCCTGATCACAACTGTATCAAAATCACATGAAAACATATTGCATGCTAAGCTGAACTGCATCTGCATCACACGGGAGGTGTTCCCAAAAGCCTGATTCACACCAATGCGTTTTTTTGTGCTTTTTGCAGAAACACATTACAGTCCGTCTAACATGTTTTCCTATGAGACATGTTCACATCTATGTTTTTTTGAGCTGCTGCATTTTTGGAAAGGGTCAGGGAATCTTTTAAATACAAAAAGTAGCATGTTTGCTACAATAGGGTTCAATGGAGAAGCTGCTAAGATGCATGTAGTGCATGTTTGCTGTGCTTTTATCGCGTTTTGCATTTTTCTTCTGGCAGCAACAAAAAAATATAATTTTTAAAAAAAAAGCTGAAGAAATGCAAAACGTGGTCAAAACGTGGCAATAACGCGCATGTAAAAACGCAAAGCACAATGCAAAAAGCCTTATAAAACGGATCAAAAGCAAACTGCATAGGTGTAAACCAGACATAAATCGCACTCTCCCTGGAACTCACCACAGGCGGCTAACATCTTTGGGTGGCTGGCTTTCGGGTCTCAATCTTCAGCGGCTCTCATTGGCTCTGCAGAGGTGCCCAGATTTAGCCATCTCATTTAGCAGCTAGGAATTTTAGCAGTAAACTGAGCCTCCGCAGCGTACTGTACAGGGGCAGACAAGCAGGTAAGTAGCTTTAGCCCCCATTCACATCAAGCCCGACTTTGAAATCATGAGACTTACAGTGAAGTCACACGATTTCAAAATCAGGGGACCTGCCGATTTCAGGTGCGATTTGCAAGACACCTGATACAGATGTCTATGCAAATCGCACCAAAAGTAATACATGTACTACTTTTGAAATCAGTGCGGATCCGACCAAGTTGGAACGGCACCGATATGACCGCTACAATTGCGGACAATAGGGACAACTTGGCATGCGATTTGCAAGTCGCAGGTCATGCAAATTGCATGCCAAGTCGCACCGATGTGAACGGGGTGTTAGTGCCTGGTCATACTGGTGTGATTTGAGAATTGAAATCACACCTGAAATTGCATCTAATGAATGTCAGTGTCTTAACGTGTGCGATTTGCTGCAACGCAATTTCTAAAGTAGTTGCGTTCCTTTTTGTGCAGTTTTTTGCAATTTTACATAGAATATAATAGAAATCGCAATGCAAATTGCAAGAAATATCTTCACAAGTCGCAATAAAGTCTTCAGAAATCGTGCTGAAATTGCACAAAAATCGCATTGGTGTGA